TGCTCTGTAACTCATGGGGTCTCCATTAACACAGATTGACTCAATGGCAAGTAACAGCAACAACAAAGACACAAGTAGTAGACAGCACCAACAACAACAGGCACACCCGAAGGCTTTCACTGGCCACCAGCATTTCATGACAGCACTCTATCCGGTGGCTGGCTGGCCTTCGAAATCCCCGTGTTTTGGGTAGTGCTGAAGTTCTGCCTTTGTCTTTCTCTGGATATCCAGTCTTAAGCCCAGATCAGCGACATGCTAATTACACATTGCAGCAGTGCGGCTACCACCAGAAGGAATGGCTACTGTTGTTGTAAACCTCTGAAAATAATTAAAATCATGCATACGGGGAACAAAACCAATTGCTGCTGAATTGATTCTGACTCATGGTAACACCATGTGTGCCAGAGTACAACTGTGCTCCACAGGGTTTTCAGTGGCTGATTTTTCAGAAGTAGATCAGCAGGACTTTCTTCCAAGGTGCCTCTGGGTGGACTAGAACCTCCAACCTTCTGGTTAGTAGCCGAGCTCTTGAACCTTTTGCACCACCCAGGGACTCCACATACAAGGGAACACTAGGCAGAAAATTTGAGCAGGGAAAATTATCAAAGGCCTCAGGGGCTCTAAACTGCAGCTTGGGTAGGAAAGTGTACATGCAGCTGATGTGATTCTAAGTAAGTTTAAAGAGGTATTGCAGCTGGATCTACTGCCTCTCCGCATCACTAAAGTGAAAAATATGGCACTTGGATTGCCAGCTCCTCCCAGATGGCAGGCTCAGGGCCCAGCACACCGTCAAGCTCTATAAACAGTAGCACTTCTAAGAGTTAAGTCAATGGCTGACACTTGAACTGCATCTGATTCAACATTTGGAAACAGCATCTCTTGCAGGGGATTAAGCCAACGGCATTTTGTAAAGGGGGGAATAGCTAAGTATTTCTTAAAGTATGGCCCTATGTACCATTTTCATCAGAATTCCTGGCAAGGTGTTTAAAAAGATTCCTGGGACTCCCAGAGCTATTAAAACAGATTTTTTTTTTTTTTTTTTAAATCACAACCCACACTGAGCAATACATTTTACATTAAGATTCAGTGTATGTTTTCTGAAACTCTCTATCTTCCATTCTATTCTCTTCTGTGTCATTTTTAAGCTGCTGGTCTGGACCTACAAAAATGATACCACAAGTAACTCATGGGTTGCAACCCTAAGTGTGAAAAACATTAATCCAGTTGACTAGAAAAGTCCCTGAGTGGCGCATACAGTTTGTGTTATTTGAACCCACTTAGTGGCTCCACAGAAGAAAGGCCTGGCAATCCACCTCCGTAAATATTACAGCCAAGAAAATCCTCTGAAGCAGTTCTACTCTGTAATACATGGGGTCGCCATGAGTCGGAAGCTACGGGACAGCAACAGGTGTTTTCGTTTTTTTTCTTTTTTAGTTGACTAGAAGGAAGCAGAACTAAAGTTGTGTAATTAACAACAGACACTTCAGGCCTGGTGATGCAGAGACGGGAGGGTTTAGTAATTCCGCACTTTTTCCAAATTCAGCAAGATGTCTTACAAACCAAACTACCCACTTCAGTGGCTTCAGGCATCAAGGAGTGGTTGCAGCCTTCAGTTACAAACCTTAATGGTCTCCTTTGTCTTAGACCCGGAGAGGAAAGTTTCCCTCTATACCAATAATCACCTCTAAACCTTCAGCATTAGGCAAGATGATGGAGTAAGCAAAGTGTGTGCTCAGTAAAGGCCCATGCCACACCTCCAGCCACATCCTTGCCACAAGGGCTTCAAAGTCCTCCCTTCCTCCACCCCTTCCCACCCACTCACATCAAACACCCCAAGGGAGTAAATTATTCTAAAACACTCAACTATTGTCTTATCTTCAATACTGTAATTAATAAATGCTTACGACTTAGGGGCACTTGTTAAAGACCCCAACTGTTTTCTCGCTATGGGTTTTCTTGGGCATTTTTCACCTCTCTTCTCCTCTGCATCTGCCACTCAGCTTCTCTTTCGGCCTTTCTCTCCTTCCCTTCCTCACCTTCTCTTCTTCTCTACCTTCCCTTTCATCTTCTGAGAGCGTGCAGTGTGAGACAGTGGATGGATCTGACTCCACTCCGCTCACGGAGTGGGGATTCTTCCTAGGGGATTATTTCATTGGCTAAAACAGCCCACGCTTTGAAAAGACCTTCTCCAAGGAGGGTGATGAAACACCAGATCTGGAGTGGTCATACGTTATTTATAAAGTGGACTTGTTTTCAGACTCCCCTGAGGAATCACCTCTCTGTCCTTTACTTTGGTCTGAAATTCTGGAGAAGTCTACTCAGGCAGAAAGGGATCTGAAACAAATGTGGCTGGGCCTAGGGGACAGGACAGGGAGAAAAAAACAAAAGCCCATTAACAGGGCATCCTACTTGCCGCTGATGCTGCAATATGTTCTGGGTATATTTCCCTGGTGGATGTCTCCTAATACAGGTATCTCTCATTCAGTCAATCCTACAAATATTTAATGAGTGCCTACCACATGCTGGGGATCATTCTAGGTTCTGGAGCTGTAAACAAGACAAAGTCCCTGTCCTCACGGTGCTTCCATTCTAGAGGAGGAGACAGAAAACAATCAAATAAACAAACAAATATATGTCAGGGGTAAATAAGTGCTAAGAGGGAAAACAGAGTAAAGTAAGGGGACCAGGAATTAATTTACCTGGTTGCCATTCAATATAGGGTAGTGAGGGAAGGCCCCCTAATAAGCTGACTAGGCAAAGACCTGAAGGAAGCAAAGGAGGAGGGGGGAGTTCTTCATGCAAAAGCAATAGCATGTGCAAAGGCCCTGGGGACAGAACTCAGTTAAAAAAAAAAAAAAAAAAAGACCATAAGGAGGTCAGAGTGGCTGCAATTAACAAGGGCAGAGAGATGAGCTAGGAATGACAGTGGGGTGGGGAAGGGTATGGCCATCATTACTATCACACATCCAATAGTTCAATGACTAACGATTCCACGTCCTGGGTTCACACAGACTCAGTCTGGACTTGCCTCCCAGCCTGCCCCCCTCTGTAGAACTATCAAGCATCTTGTTCCCCAGTTCCCTTCCCTGACTGGGGTGTTACAGCACTCCAGGTCATTCTTTCCCAGTTTCCCAAGGAGACAACCAGTTCATTTGATTAACAAAAAAACTGAGTAATAACTGCAGTTGGGAAGAAGGCAACATGCACATTTAACCACAGCCATCAAGAGACAGGAAGGATACCATGAAGAGCAGAGGGTCAGCTATGAAAAAATGTCTATTTGCCAGCTGGGTATCCTGCCTCTTACTTCTTTGGATCTCAGCCCCTGATCTGTAACTTGGGAGACAATAATCCATGAAACAACCTTGAGAAGTAGGTATGGAAGGGAGACAAGAAAAGCCCTGGCCAGGAAAGGCCCCTCATAAATGCTGCCAGCCTTTGCAATTTAAAAATGACTAGGACAGGGATTCCGAAAGTTGCACTCAAAGATAGGTATATAAATGCAGATCATTACTTATATTTTACAGAATAAAGTAAAACAAAACAAAAACCTCAAAAATTCTTCCACAGCCCCATCTCACCCCAACTTGGGAGCCAATGGCCTTTGCCTCCAGAGGCACAAACCCCGGCTTTAAGTTCTCTGAAATCTTAACCATAAGGAAAGAGGTCCACATAATTCATGGCCAGAGGTATGATGAGGTCGGTGGTCCGGGGCGCAGGGCATCACAACATATGCTTCCTGTGTCTCAGGAGCTGTCCAGAAGCCCCCAGAGCTGGGTCACTACGGGGGGCCAAACCCTGTGACTTCAGGCCATAGCAGCTCAAGCCACCAACAACAGCTGCCCAGAGCTGCCAACTTCAAAGCATCCCCGGGGCAGGAGATGGTCACTCGGCGGGGAGTCCCCGGCTCCAGAGACCCCCCCCCATGGTCACACACACACACAAACACACACA